GCCCCCGCCTCCCACGTCATATGTTTCCCTCCTCATCTGTACTCCGCATCCCTCCTTTTCCTCATTCTCTCGCCATTGGTGCCCGAGCACTGGCAGGGCCGCGAGCGAGCATCACTTCGGCCAAAAATGCGAGCATAGGATGCTCGCGCACGGCGCCGATTGTTTGGGTGGCCGCTCCGAGCACGGGCATGGCCGCCAGCGAGCATCGTGGCCTGCTCATGTCTACTCAGCGAAAGCTCGCCTGCGGCGTGTTTTCGTGCAAAGAAACAAAACATGAAAAAGGGGGCACGAAGAGGTACACGCCCCTTCGCCCCCCCCCACACCGATCGCCCCTTCCCTACAGCAACGCCCAGTCCCACGCGTCGGCCCCTGGACGGGCCTGTTGATCGACGAGGCCTCCTCCCGCTCCTCACCCGCCACCCATGGCGGACCTTGCTGCTGGCTGGGGGCGCCACGCGGCGGTGACAACAGCTCAGGCGTCGCCCAGCCGTGATTTGCATCCGTCGGCTGGCTGACGCCTCACCCTCAATCTCGGGCCAGATGAAAGGGTGGGAGATAATCAGGGAAAGATGGGGGGACGATTTTTGCTGCATGCAGCTGGTTTCGGCCCCGCCGCCTGGGCGCCTCCCGGTCCCAGGAGGCCCCGGAAAACCAGCTCGCTGAGCTGATGTTTGACCCTGCCCGTTGGTGTCCTGTCCTTTCGTCCCCCCCGATCATCCCTGCCTCCGCCTTTTCTTCTCAGACATCCGGCTGCTCCAATTTTTTCGATGCGTGGGCCCCGGAGGTCTGGACAACTTCCCCAGGGCCAGGTTTGCACCCCAGGTCCTTTTTTGACGCTCCCGAGGCCCAGCGAGGGCCCCTGGAGGCCGAAAACGGCTAAAAACTGGCCGCTCCAACCCTGCAAGACGTATACGCAAAAATCATAGATGCATTTCGATGCCATCGCGCCCTGGCGCAGGCGAGAAGCCCATTTTTCCGCAGCGACGACCATATATAGATATGATCTTGAGATCGATGTTTAGCTGTGTCTTCCAGTTTTTCCGCAGCGACGACCATATATAGATATGATTTTGAGATCGATGTTTAGCTGTGTCTTCCAGGGAGTGTTGCTCCGAGCGCCGGGCCTCTGGGCCCCGAGCGCCTGCACGCTGGCGCTGCGCAGGCGCTCCCTGTGCCGCGCGCTCCCGCTCCCCCCGCCCGCGGGGGGCGGCCCTGCCCCTCGCCCTCGTCTCGCCGGGCGCGCGGCCCAGCTGCGGCGGGGGGGGGGGGCGGGCGGGACCTCCGGACCCAGACCCCTCCTCCTCCTCCTCCACCTCCTCCTCCTCCGCCTCCTCCTCCTCCTCCTCCTCCTCCTCCTCCTCCTCCTCCTCCTCCTCCTCGAGCAGCGCAAAAACCACGACGGGAGGTGTTTCACGATGTTCGGCCTCTGGGGGCCCTTGCCGGGCCTCGGGGCCGTCCACAAGACGGCTCGGGGTAAAACGCCGGTCCTGGGGAATGGGTCGAGACCTCGGGGGGGTCGACGCATTGAAAAAATCACGACGTCGCATCTCTGGGGGGGGGGGGGGGCGGGACCTCCGGAGGCCCCTCCGCCCCAGTCGCCCGAGAGCCCGGCGGCGCGCAGCCAGGCGTGGGCTGCGAGCAGACGCTGGCGAAGCGCCTCGCGGACGTCAAGGAGACGAGGAGGAGGATACGCAGAGATCTGGCGCTCCCAGCAAAAATGTGGAGCGGGCGGTTTTGGGCCGTGTTCGGCCTCCCAAGGCCCTCGCCAGGCCTCGGAAGCGTCAAAAACGACCCGCGACGCACAACTGGCCCTGGGGAAGTGGTCCAGACCTCCGGGGCCCACGCATCGAGCAAATTTGAGCAGCCGGATGTCTGGGGAGGAGGAGGAGCCTTGTCGAGAGTGGACCTCTATCGCCGCCGCCGCCTTTCTCCTCCTCCTCCTCCTCCTCCTCCTCCTCCTCCTCCTCCTCCTCCTCCTCCTCCTCCTCCTCCTCTTCCTCCCCCTTGGATACTCGGAGGCGCTTTTCCTGCTGCCCTTCTCTGCCTCTCCTCCATCCGTCTGTCTGTCGCCCTAAATTACATTCAGATTCCCCACCAACCGGCGACTCCTGGAGCAAATGCTCCATGAGTCTCCTGGCTCTTAGTTTGATCAACCGCCCGTGCCCGACCAGCCCTGGGGGAGAGGGCACCCGTAGGGCTTTCTTGCCATCAGGAACCAGGAACCAGGAGGAGAAGGAGGAGGAGGAGGAGAGGGAGGAGAGGAGGATAATCGGGGCCACCGATAGGGATGATAGGCATAAGGGGGGGATGCTGCAACGACCCCCAATCGTCCATTCATCGACGTTAAGGCCCGATAGCCCACCCCGACTCAGGAACGTGCCGAATCAATATCGGGGGCCTGTCGCCGATCTATCGGCGATGTATCGCCGATTCGAGGTCGATGCCCCCCCCATGTGCCAGTCCCCCCCCTATCGTTGCCCCCCGAAGGAAAGGCGTCGAGGATCGACATTCCGATGCCTGTGCGTCCCCTCGGGGCCTCGAGGGGGGGGGGGGGGGGCATCCTGTCGCCACTTCTGGATCCCCACCGACGTGATGGCCCAAATGCACCCCCACGGGAGATCCCGGGGCAGGGACGGGGGGCCTCGGTCGCACTGAAAACAGGAGGAGTTCAGGGAGAAAGGGGGGGTCTCCTGGGGACGCGTCCCGCATGCAGGCTCCGGGGGGCCCTCCCTGGCGCGGGGCCGTCAAAGGGTCGTGCGGGACGAGACATGTCCAGGCCGCAGGCCCGGACCCGTTTTCGCCGGGCGCTTCTCTTCATGCCAAAGGACGCGGAGGACGCGAATGCGGAGGAGGACGGCGACGACAAGGAGAACGATGCGCCTCTCAGACATCAGAGGTCCTCCCTGGTATCTTAGATTACTTGCCCTGACGGGGTGTGAAATCGCGTGCCAGGCAGTTGCATCGTCTGTGTAGGCTGGGTGCTAAAAACTCAAGCGAGCCGACCAACGGATTGATTCACCCCATGCTCTCCCGCGGCGCTGGCATTCCAGCACTCGGAGTTCTAAGTGCATCTGGCCATTACATTCGAAAGTTTGAGAGCGGTTGGACGGGTGGATGGCCAAGCACGCACGAAATCCGTAGATCCTTTACAGTCGATAACATTTGAGCCTTGAACCTCGAGCCTCGATTCTCGTCCTGGGCCTCCTCGACCCCCTCTCCTACGCCGGTTTCAAGGGGTCCAGTAAGTGGGGTGAATGGTTCTTCCTCCTCCTCCTCTGGAGGGTAGGGCTCACACAATGTTTGCCCCAGCTGTTGACGACGCCACCGCTAAATCTAACAGTGGGAGCCGAACGTTTCCGCTGGCGAGCGATTATTATGCCAGCCCGTGGCCGAATCTCGACAGCGCACCGAGGGCGCTCAGAGCTTCACCAAAGGCACAGTCGCTGAGATAAGCATCACGAGCTTCAATCTTGTCTCGCGTCCAGGGCATGTGGGAGCAGCGCCGTCGCCAAATTTCAGCTTGCGGCAGTACAGCCCTTGACAGTATGGTGCGCGAGAGCGGGTTCCAGCCACTACGACGCTTCAGTGCTCAACCCTGGCAGCAGAGACGGTCGCTCATCTCGGCGGCGAGCGGGGGAAATGAGAAGGAGAAGGTCTCCTCAGAAGGCGGCGGGACTTCTCAGAAGATCTCGCGCTCTCTGAGAAGTTTCCTGTGCCTCCGGGGAAGGCTCAGGAAAGTCTTCGGAAGGCCGGGGAACTTCCGAGCCTTCTGAGAAGGCCCGCCCCCCCTCACTTCCCCCCCGGGCTCGCCCGGGGGGGAAGTGAGGAGGGGCGGTTTTCATTGCCCTGCTTGCGTTCTGCTTCACACTGCCTGTTGAATCATCGCGTGCGCTCCCGTCTTCTCCCTCCAACAAAAAAAACTTCCCCCCCCCCGGGCTCGCCGCCGATCATCGTCCGCCGAGCGCGCCGCCGCGCTGCAGCACCACAACTCACTCGGCACGGTCGCCCCTGCTCCCGCCGCACGCTCGAGCGGCTGCGCGGGGCTGGGCCTGGCCTGCCGTGGGGCCTGCGGCAGGGCAGGGAGGCACGCGGAGGTTCTCCTTGTGCCCCCCTTTCCCGAGCGGAGCAGAGGAGACGACGGAGCCTCTCCGAGCTGCAGGGCACGAGGCCTCCGCCGAAGGTCGGCACACACTTGCACGCGGTGTTGACAGCTGGCATTCCCCGGAGAGCGAGGTCGTGATGCTCTGAGGGCCGAGGCCACGTCCACCCGTCGCCCTTCTCGCCAGGGACGCGCTCCGGCGCGACAGCGGTAGCTGTGTCCGTTCCCGAATGTTACCCCAGCTCCCGCTCCTGCGGTTGCTGAGGGCGCCTCGGTCTGTTCTTCTGTTCACCACTTCCCTTGCGACGCAGCCTCGTCGAGTCGAGGAGCCAGCACGCCCCGGGCGGGGACACAGCTGCCAGAGGAGGAGAGACGAGGCTGGCACCAGCGCCGCGGCGCGGGGGCTGGCCCTGCAGAGAGAGCACCCACGGAGATCGCCCCACCGCTCGCCCGGCGAGCTTCGGCGGGCGAGGTAGTGGCGCGTGACTGGTCACTTCGCGGCCGGGTCGGCGGGGGTAACCACGGCAGGTTCATGTCGCATCGACGCGGCTGCGACCCCGCCGCGGGCGTTCCGTGTTGCACGCGGCCAGTGGCCCAGAGTCCGCCAACATGGAATAGGTCTCGAGCGAAACGGCGTCTCGGTGATTTCTTGGACCGTTTTCGTTTTGGTTTCGTTTCGCAGCAAAGGCAGAACGAAGACAGAACGAAGGCAAACGAAAACAAACTGACAACGAAAAACACTGCTTAGCTCGAGCTCTGAGATGGAACGATCTGGCGATCGAAAAGCCGCTGACCCTCCAAGCTTGAACGATCCACGCGGTGTCAGAAACCGGCGCCCGGGCAGTCAGGGCGCGAACCTGCCGCGCACAGTCCCGGTCCCCGGTTTCGCTCGGCCGATGCCTCCTCGCCCCGCCACGGCGCACGAGGTACGCCATGGCGCGCCGCTGCCCACATCCCATACCGCCCGGGCGCAGGAGCGGGGGGGCCCCAGCCACGCGCGGCGAGCCGACCGCCGTCCAGCCCGGCGGGTCGGCGACGCCCACCCACGCCGCTGCACCTGGCTGGGGATGGGGCGCGGCTCCCAGACCCCTAAGGTCATGATTTTCTCATGACGTCGACCCCCAGGAGGTTTCGACCCCTTCCCCAGGAGGGGCCTT